GACACGATCGCGGTTCAGCTCATTTTCGCCGCTGCGCATGACAGGGTATGAATTCCATGAGATCTAGTCTCATGGTCTACCTACTAACTGTCTGGAAGATGACACCGAGGATGCCATGTGGCCTTACGATGCCGCCTTCGATCCATTTCTTACCGACGTAATTGACGCAGACCAGAACGCCACTTCTCGAGATGGGAACCGCCTAGAAAGTAAAGCGGACGTCCTCAATTTGCCAGATGAAGTGACCATTTCGGGAACGAAGATACTGTGAGTCATCATTACACAACTCTAGCTTGAAAGAATGGTAACTTATGCAATGAGCATAGCTTGAACCGTGACGGATGTAGCACAGATGCGTTTGTCTGTAACCAGTGCCCGATGAGTTTCAAGACCCAGAATGACGCCAACCGCCACAAAGCGTCCGTTCACGATAAGACCACCCCCTACTTTTGTGGCGAAAGTGGCTGTCGACGTGTCAAGGGATTCTCCAGGAAGGATAACTTCGAAGCGCATCTTCGCAATGTTCATGGCATCGAGACAAATAACTGTGGCCGTGGACCGGCCCTTCATTCTTTGAGCATGACACGAGAGCTAGAGCCAGAGGACACCAGAAAACGTGATGTCAGCCTGCGTTCTTTATCTCGGCGCGAACTGATCGAGATGGTTCTGAAAGAGCGAGAAAAGTGCGATGTCGAACGGCGTAAGAGGCAGGAACTGGAAGCAAAATTGGGCGAAATCAGGGACAAATACGAAGAACGAGAAGGCATGTTGCTTAAACTCCTAGTTAAAGGCTAGATATGGTTGTGATGCTCTCGACTATTCGTAGAGGATTTATTTGATTTGACGACTTTCAATCGTGTTTCTTTGCTAGTAAGTCTTTAACCTATGGCATTTAGTTAGAGTTTAGTATATTACTTTACGTCAAGGCTTGAATTGTGGTAACGTATAGAATTTAGAGAGAATCACTTCGAGATTCATGAGGCCATTGCCTTGCTGTTATGAATTAGCAATCCTAGTAGATTGTGGGATATATTATATAGTCTAGAATTAAACCCATATTAAGTCCAGTTCCGGATTCAATCTGCATATATAATAGAACGACACCGAGTCTGCAACTAATCGGAGAAAGGGCCGTTTTACTGTTGAGACTCCCACAAAACTTCACGTAGCCACCCATCGACCTCCTGGGCCAGCCGAAGGGGATTGTTACCCTGACAGTGAGCATCAGCGCCAGTCTCTGCATCAAGGATTACGAGACTCTTTTTAGCAGAGCGAATTGAAGCATGCCATTCCTCAGTCTGCTTCTTCCAGAGACCCCCTTCTTGCGTGCCAAGCACAGACAGGAACGGCACTTGAACATCGTGCGGGTCCGCTATCGCTCCCTCCCACCGCTGCGTAAACTCCGACGGATCATTCACACCGGCCTTCCACATAAGAACCTGGAAGTTCCTACTGGCTACCTCTGACGCCGTGACTGCACTAGCCCCAGCCGTAGTAAATACCTCGTACGGACGAGGGAGTGCCGGAGTGGCGATCACCGCCCCAAGTCGCAGCTCGTGAGCTGCCGCACGACAGGCGAAGTATCCACCAAGACTCATGCCCAGAAGTGCCAGTTTGCGCGGTTCTACCCCGAAACGTGCGATCAGTTCGTCAATCACCGCACCTACCGGCCGTTCGGTCTCTGGTTCCCAGTGAAGGCCTTGCTGTTGCACGAGCCCCTGACCTGGCAAGTCGACCAAAGCGACTGGATAGCCACGCTTGAAGTAGTAGTGCCCTTGCGACAAGAAACGATCCTCATGACATGTGTCTGCCCCTCCAATCACCAGCATAGTTGGCGCAGAGGGATCGGTCGCCTGGTAGAAGTGCCCAGGTAGCTCGCCGCCTGCGTAGGGGACGCTGAATCGCACAGCCGGAAGGCCCAGTTCCGTCATGGCTTCACCAAAGAGCTTTTGGCTGGTCCGAAACAATGCCGCGAAATGCTCGCCTGGGACAACAAACTGCCAGGCCAATCGGTAGCATGCGAATGCCTTCAAGCGAGCTTCCCCAGCAGCCAGGCGAAGCTTGCGTGCCGACCAAGTATCGGCTTGCGCGTTCAGCAATCCCCCCTGATGCTCGAAAGCAAGCGTCCAAGAGTCTGCATCTCCGTCCTTAATCTGCTTCACAATATAGAACGCCTCGCCGACGGATAAGCCACCAGCCGGTCCCCATCCAAGAGCGGCAAGAAAGAAGAGGTCCATGTTAGGGTTGGCGAAGTAATAGCGCTGATTGAGGCGCTGCATTGATGAGTCCTCGCTCCGGGGCGAACCTTGATGGTCTGCCATATCTCAACCTTTGTAGACTTAGTCGGCCTGACGTTGTATGTTTATGATGTATAATATAGACAGTCAACTACTAAGTACGGATGCGTAGTATACTGTGACGGGCTTGAGTTTGTGTGCATTCTGTGTTCTCTTGGCATTGCCTGAGACTCGCCTTTTATATCTGCTCTTTCGTAGGATATGTCCATTTGCTCCGTTATTTTCCTGCTGACTGTAACAGACTCTGTCCAGTGCATGTTTGGAGGACCTCTGCAAAAAGAGGCCGAAAATAAACTAGAGATCGGTAGAATGCTCCGTTTTTTGCTCCGCACTCTAGCGGCTTTAGGCCGTCGACCGGAAGCTGCGTGACGGAGCCACGCAATATCTCCTTCGATTGCTCCGTCTGACGTCTTTACTCAATCAGACCACATCCCCGTTCATCCGTCGATTCCTCCGCCATTTCATCCGCCAATTGAACATCTGCTGCACATCTATGACCGACACAGAACACGCAATTGACAGGTCTCTCATCGGTGGCAAGCATAATTTTAGCTTGCGCTGGCTGGTGAGCCTGGTCAGAAAGAGTTGGTTCTGATGGTGACTGGAATGTAGAACAAATGACGTACCTACCGACAAAGATGTCTCTATTAAAGCGACTCCATCTAACTAACTGGACAGACTTCACAACTTCCTTTTCCTTGGCTCTGCGTCTTTGGAATGACTACCACACCAGCCGAGGCTGTGTTCCAACTCACGATCCGACGGGACCGTCGTCGTGACAAGCCGCAATTATCATGTAATTTCTGCAGGCGTCGCAAGTACACTTGAAACTCTCGATTATCCTCTTAGGAAAACTTATCTGTATACTAACCTGCGCATTTTGTAGGATGCGATGCGATCGTCAGCTCCCTTGCAAGACTTGTGTTAACAAAGGGATGCCGCTCTCTTGTGCCTACACACCAGGTCCGCAAAGAGCTGGCGCAAAATCATTCAGCGTCGGCGACCGCATCAAGGAGCTTGAAGACCTTGTAAAGTCTCTGGCAGCGCAGCAGCAATCGGAACCGGGAGCCGCTGTAACCGCAGGGAATCGGTCATCTTCTGAGTCCCAAAGACTTATCTTCCCAGAACACCGGCCGCTAATACAATCACCAAGTCTTAGGAGTGGAACATTTATTGCCGGTTCGTCTTCATCCAAGGCTGAAACAGACGGGACCAATACATTGGCGGCTACTTCATCCCCGTCAGAACACGGAAGCATACGAATGGACTCGCAAGGTTCTGGTTATGTCAGTGGTCTTCATTGGTCTGCTGTTTTAGACAGCATATCCCTTTTAAAGGATCATTATGAAGAAGAAGAAGAAGCAAGAATGCAAGCCACTTTCGACCGTATCCCATCGTATCAATACGCTGGCCCTCGCCTCCTATATGAGCCTGTCGAGGCAACCAAGTCGGATATACTAGCTTCCATCCCGCCTCGGCCGGTAGTAGATCGTATTATTTCACGCTATTTCAATGCCGAAGGGGCTATACCAGCAGTTATTCACAGTCCTCAATTTTTCCGAGAGGTATTATATCTGCCTAAGTGTTGTTAATAGTAATTGGTAACTAATGCTGCTTCGCCCTAGTATGAATCCTTTTGGCAGGCACCAACAGATGCATCCTTCAAATGGATCGGCCTATTGTTCAGCATCATGTGCTGCTCCACACATTTCCAGCATTTAATTCAGGATGATCCTGACCCTGACGCTCAGATGCGCGTCCACACATTCCGAGAACGAACGATTCAGTGTCTAATTCTGGGCGAATATACTAAAGGGGGAAAGCATGTCCTAGAAACGATGATCCACTATTGTGCAATTGAGCTCGTTCTGTGTAAGGAAGCGGATATCGGGCTATGGCTGCTACAAGGCATGCTCGTACGACTGGCTCTGAGCTCCGGCTATCATCGTGACCCTCGAAACTTTTCAAATTTATCACCATTTGCTGGCGAAATGCGGCGACGCGTATGGATGTTCATTTTGCAGATGGATCTGCGGCTTTCAAGCCAGATGGGACTTCCACGGCTGCTCAAGTTTCAGCATTCTGACACGGCTAAGCCTCGTAATCTGTTAGATACTGATTTTGACGAAGATAGCACTGAGCTTCCGCTATCTCGGCCGGACACCGAAATCACGCCCGTGCTTTACGGTCTCGCTAAAAGCCGGATGGACGATATCAGCGGGGAAATTGGTGATTTTGTAGCCGATACTCGGGAACACTCTTACCAGGCGACCATGGAATTAGACCGGAAGCTGCACAAGGCCGAGGAAGGGCTTCCTTCCATCTTCCAATGGCAGCCCCTTAGCCAGTCGCTGATGGTCCCTCCGCTGATTGTCGTACATCGTATGTGGCTCCAGCTCGCCTCACAGCGTCTCACAATCTGGCTTCACCGCAAGTATCTCGCTCCCCGCTACACGCAACCAGAATATAAACACTCTCGAGATGCATGCGTGCAAGCTGCTATCCGAATTCTTGAGTTTCAACAGCTTGTGGAGGAGGAATTACGTCCAGATGGGCTTATATATCCCGTCCGTGGTATGTTGACCAGCCTACTCCAGTCGGTCTTCTTGCTTGGCATGAGCATCCTTTCTTATTACATGCAGTATGCGAGGACATCTTCAGGCAAATCGATTGACCAGGACACGAGAAACAAAATTTTCGAGTTGCTTCGGAGTACGTATCCAATTTGGTTACGATCAAGTACTGTATCCCGAGAAGCTCGGCGAGCTGTACAACATCTAGCGACTTACCTTCCGGAGCTACAGACTTCAGAGCAAGGGATACAATCGCCCGCAAATGATGCCACTCTTTATCCTGCCACACCACAAGACGCCTCCATGTCACTTGATCAAGTCGGTTGGGACGCTTATCAAGGTAAGAATGAATCGGACGAGGTACTGGAGCCTACGTTGTACAAACACTGACCATTTTAGACTGTATCACCGGTTTTCCTCCTACTTTTGGGTTTGACTTCGTATCTACGGACGAGCCTTGATGTCAATATGGATTGACACCTACAAATAGTCTACGCTTATAGCTTCTTTGCTGATTCTACAATGCCTTGATATTACAGGTATGAACGCATTGTGCTGCCACAGGGTGCCGATATGGAAGATTAGCTATCTAAGTTTCAACATAAGTCAGACACGACTCCGAGACATCCTTGGACGTTTTAGGTTCGGAACATTTTGGTCTACTTGTAACCAAATGGTACCTAACTAAAGAATGATGTGTTTTGTGGGTCTATTGAAGTGCCATTGAATCTATATAAAGTGATTTGGCCACTATTACTTCTGTGTGTAATCTGCAATTGGCCAGTACACTTCCAGTCTTGCTTCCGAAAGAAAGAAGCCGTCACCGTTTGTGTCTCTGATTTAGAACAAAGTCTGGCCACCGTCCACAACGAAGTCGGAGCCATTGATGTAGTTACCAGCCTTGCTCGCCAGAAGAACTACAACGCCGGTCAACTCCTCGGGAAACCCCATTCTTCCGAGAGGGTTGCGGTCGTTCCAAATACCTCTAGCCTCCTCAAGACCGTCTCCTGCGTTCAAAATCGTGTCCATGTAGCCAGGACTAATGCTATTCACCCTGATACCATGCACTGCCCATTCAGCAGCGAGAGAGCTCTTCAGCATCCGCACTGCAGCCTTGGATGTGTTGTAAGCTGCTTGAGGCTGCGGAAAGTTCACGGTATGGCCGGAGATGCTAGCGATGAGAATAATGCGACCACCTGTCTTGGCTGCCACCATTCTCCGAGCGACGGCTTGAGCACAGATAAAGCCACCGGTTGTGTTCACGTCAATTGTTCTCCGGAACTCCGCCACAGACACATCAAGAGAGTGATGGCAACTGACAATGCCAGCAAACGTGATCAGAATGTCCACCGAACCCAAAGTCTTGACAACTTCCTCCACAGCCTTGTCGACCTCCTCAGGATTGGTGATGTCAACCTTCTGGAAGGTGATTGGCACAGATGGGAATTCTTCTTCCAGCTTCCCAATTCGAACTTCAGCTTCATCTTTATTGACATCGAAGATGGCCAATCCCTCCAGACCGTGCTGAAGCAGTGCACGAACGTTGGTAAAAGCAAGGTCACCAGCGCCGCCGGTAACAATAGCATTTCCTGATACGCGGAATCGTTCCACGGCAGGATTAGCACCTGCGGCTGGCTTCTCAATCCCTGGAGCTGGTGAAGTGCGAGACCACAGGCTCATCTGAGGAAGAACCCTGGCTGTCAGATCATCACGATCTATGCGGTCTGCTGCGGCCATGGTAATGAGAAGTACCGATTGACTTCCGATATGTTGAATAAAAAATATGGCTCTTCCGGTCTGGGGCTCACTGAGCGGCGGTCGTGATATGGGAAAGGCTATATTGGTGGATATCCTACTCTTATAATGCGAAAATTCGGGCGCTTTTCATACCACTACAGAAGTCAATTTGAGCAAATCCAGCCTTGCCTGGGATCACCAAAGCATTTCTGCTGACTTGGTTGATTTGAGACACAAACCGGGGATGACCCCTCACTCACGGGGCAGAATATGTCGTGCTGGGCGGCTATTGGGGAACGACTTCACGCGATACAGTACTAGCATTTCGGAGTCACACTGCATCATGCATTGTTGCCCATTAAACAGGTAGCGCAGCCCAGCCTCCTTTGCTTACGTCCACACTGCATTACACTAGAGTCGATCAGAGGGAGAGTAGAAGAGGACAGAAACAACTCATGAAAAGAAGCCCGTTACAGGCAGCACTGCGAATCCTAAATAGCCCCCACTAGTACCGGCTTCGGGAAGGCACTTCACCAGACCTCAGCTAGATCAGGCCCATGTTCTCCTTTTCCGAGGCATCCCTACTTGATGTACAGGCTCGGGTGCCTCGTTTATTTGATTCAGGAAAAGGCCGGTCGACCCTGGGCAGTCTACTAGACGTTTTTCAGACACTCGTGTACCTACCCACGCTACCATGCAGTATAGTATGGTCGCATCCTTGCAGATAGGTGTAGCAGCGATTGGCTTGCGTCGTGAAACTGCTCCGGTTTGGTGTTTGAACCAACGCGAATTCAACGGCGTTGCAGATTTCCATAGAGCCGCACAATGTGGCCACATCGAAGGCAACCCCGTCTGAAATACCAGGCATGATAGGCACCACTACCGTACTTCTGCATCGTACAAAAGTCCCATTGTGCATGCTCTGTACGTACTCCATTGCTTAGCGAGTACTTTTGATGCTCATGTAAGCGTCGGGCCGCACCGTTGCGACGCGTTCAGCCACTTGAATCAATGGTATTCGTCCAAGGAATTCCAATGACCTAATACATCATCACATTCGCCCCTGCGGAGATAGTCTTCTGCCTCTTGCATGATTGTATGGCCTAGGTGCATGTGGCTGTCATTGTATACTTCTTGGCAAGGCCGAGACCATCATTTCCACAAGCGTCATTGGACTCGGCTAAATCATAGAGACGTTCTTCATTCTTAACGTTGCGTAAACTTTCAAAGGTGGGGGCTACGGCTGAAGAAGTTATCTCGAAGGATCGAGTCTACTGATTGATGCAGATAAGATGCACGAGGTGTCTGAACTAAGGTGGGGAAAACTGTCTTTGAGATAGGCTGAAGTCCAAGCGGTATGGTGGTGAAAGTAGAAAAACTCATCGTCAATGACAGTGACAGCAGCAGGCCAGGCCGAGCTTTGCTCATGAGCTACCTGTTAAGGTAAGGAAACCCGACATCTTGCACGGCTCTGTATAAGCTTATCGAGCTAGGCAGGCCATTGCAGCAGCCCCATGTTCTTCAAGTCCTCCAAAGTCACTCGAATTAGCAACCTAGTGAGTAAAGATTGATGCAGCAAGAGACAACCCATATTTTCCCCTGACAACTCGACATTTGACGCGTCGTTTGATGAAATCCCCGCGATTGAAATGTAATTTTGTCTTGTCTTTCTACATCAAAAGTAGCGGTGAGGGAGCCTGGTCAAGTAGAGAAGGCTCCCACAGCCTGCTGGAATACTTCTAAGTGACTTGGTCCCTCGTGCGTGGTTCTGGGGGGTGTTCCACCACATGATCCGCTCTACTGCAGCATTAATCCCTGTCTGGACATGATAGACCACCCCCATGGGGGCCGAAACTAAGCCCATTGTAAGTTTGGGGTGATGCTGGGGATAAGTCGCCCAAATGAGTCTTCGCGAACTCCGTAGCGGAAAGCTTGGAAAACCGTAAATGATGCCTGCATGGCCAATAAGTTGATGATGAGGATGATATTGGTTTAGACCAAATAATTACGGCATGGGAAATGAAGATCGTATGACTGTGTAACGGACAATAGACCGGGGGAATTTACAAGGCCAGGTTCGATTTGCAGTGTTAGTCTAATGCATGTCAAGGTTTTCCACTTTTCCATTGAGCCGCGTTGTGACCTTCCGCCTCCTCTTGCTCTTCCTCCTCCTCCTCTTCTTCCTCCTCTTCTTCTCCCTCGGTGGAGTTTCCGCCGCTCATCGCATACTCGTCTTCGCTTGAGGCGTCTTCTCGGTTGGGACCGCCGTCGCTATCTGAATCATCAGAGTGAGCCCCGCTCAGTTTTCTGTCTGACTGGCGGAGCTCCTTTAAATGTGTTTGTAGCAGCTCTGGGAAGTACATTTCGCAGAGATGCCTCATATCATTGAACACACTTGTCGAAAGTCAGTCAAGCCATCAGAATACTACGATTGCCGCCTAGTACATACTCTTGCCGTTGAACGGAGCCGGGGAACAAGATGGCTGCGCCCAGGTTGTACCGAAGAGAATAGAGGATATTTCGTGAATCCCACTCATCCTCTAGATGCGTTCATTAGAGAGAGCGCCGTGGAGATTGGCATGACTTCAACTTACCTGGTTCAGACGGCGGAAAATGGCGTTTGTATCCTCGAACGTATGTCTTATTGCTTAGTCTGTGCCTGATAGCCCTCCAATTCCCAGTTTCGTATTCATTGTGGGCATACATAGACCCGGGATCAAAGACGAAGGGTTCGCCGGTCCTCATGTCGGTCGCGGTGTTCTCATCCCAAAGGTCGCCGTGCACTAAACAAGGTTTGATCGATCTCCCTTCAGACTGAAGAGGCTCCAATAATCGAGGAATGACATTCTGTAACGTGATGTCGCAAAGGACTTTGAATTCTGGCCAGAGTCCATTTTGCTCCTCGTCCTGTTTGACCATGTAGCCGAGATGCTGCTGATAAACTACTGCCCAGGACTCATTCCATTGATCCGTCATCTGGGCCACTTTGCCATGACATGTCATTGTATGAAACCCAAATTTACCAGTCGGCGACACTGATTTCTTGTGAAGCTCAGCCAACTTGGCCGTGAACCTCGCCGGATCAGGGGGTTGCTCCCCAACAAGCCTGAATTCCTCGATCAGGAAATATGTGTCTCTGCTGTCCTGCAAATAGTGACCGCAGGCAAATGGTTCGGGCACGAACGTAGGCGACACCGCGTGCATAGCTTTGAGTGACTCGTACTCGCCTTCAATCATGTAATTCGCAGTCGGCAAAGAGACCATCTATCATGTATGAGCCTGCATTATCACAAATTCCATCTATGGAATGTATGTATGTGTCACCTTCAAAAGATAATCTTTTCGTTCTCCTGATGGATGCAAGGCTTCAAGCTTGACAGCCTGGCCCCATAGCGAAGTTCCATAACGGAGAGCGGCCTTAACTGTAATCCCAGGGATAGCATTGCGTAATGCTGGCCAAGGTGAGGCTTGATTAGCCCTATATTGGACCTTAAAAGATGCGTACTCACCTTCAAGGACAGTTTCATTCACTTTGACATCAGTGCCTGTTGATGGTGCCTTGGGTGCACCTACAGGGGCAGTACTGATCGAGTGACGGTCAACCCACGCATTGAAGGCGGTATTTCGCACGGTTTCCGCTGCCGACATGTCATGTGCAGTCAATGATCCTTCGAGTTTCGCTATGTAGATAAATGCGCCTCAGTCAATGACAATTCAGTCGTATTGTCGAGGATACCGAGCACGAAGTAGTGGCGCCGCCCCATGGTTTTAAGTCCCCCCTGGTGCCCAACCATTAACACTGTGGTCGTCTGGCTGGGTCAGCCGTTATCATGACCATGCCATTTCCTGCAGTGCAACAATAGCGGCCATACACGGGAGAGAGAGCCCTGGACATGCATGCAACTCCGCCCCCTCATTTCGGACACCCTGTGCAGCGATCGGTCCCTGATTGGTTCTGTAACTGCATACATGGCTTCGCCTGGCCCGGTCGTTGCAGGCAGAAGAAGTTTGTCGGGGATCGGGAGAATATTGCGAATCTGAACTAGTCAATACGTAATAACTTCTTAGTTATCTCTAGGGTAGAGTGTAGCAATCGTTATATCAAGGGTTTTCTGGCAGTCGATCCTTTTGGAGCCGCAGTGCTCGGAATGTGGCTGCCCCTCTGAAGCCCCCCATCCCACATCCGGCTCTTCCCTGGGTTCTTCCTCTCTGTTCCCTTGGGAATGCTAAGAACTTCTTCTAGATCAGAACGGTAGTTTTACTTAGCGGTGACCAGGCTGACGACATCCGGGTGGGGCCATTCTGGCCTCGGACGTTGACTGTGAGAAACAGCGCCGAGTAGCGATACTGCTATTCCGCGTCAGCACAGCAGATTACAATGGTAAGAAACCATGCATGCCATACCGCTCTCTCCCATCTTGCTCTTGAGCCGTTCCATTCCCGTCGGGTTGTTAGCTAACAAGCTTCTCGCGTGGCACAGCGTCGCACTCTCAACAAGGTCATTGGTGGTAGTTCCAAAGACCTCAGCGAGAACAAATATGAAGAAGTCAACAGTAGCCATGGCAGCCTCTCATCTTCATCCACACCACTGGACGTGCCACACGCGGGTTCCAGTGCAGATGCTGGTTCCAAGTCCCGCTCCGCAAGTAGCGGTGCCATTTACGAAACCGAGGAGCCTCGGAGGCCGAGTTTTGGACCGACGCGATCAATGCCGGCGACATCGACGATGTCTCTTAGTCTGGGACTTGGTCGCTTGCGCACACCCTCCGGCACCGGGTCTGACGTTGTGTCGACAGGAGCCGAAGTTGGTCTACATCTCATCAACGATGCGCCAAACCGAGCTGCCGACCTGATTCTTGTTCATGGTCTCGGTGGCTCATGGGCTAAGACCTGGTCGTGGAAACATGACCCGCAGATATTCTGGCCACAGTGGCTGCCAACCGATGAGACACTCTCCAGACTGAGAATTTTCTCGTTTGGCTACAATGCCAACTTCAAAGGACCGAGTACAACGCTCGGGATCTTAGACTTTGCCAAAGATCTTCTCTTCAAGATGTCAGGGTACGGCGAGCAGGGCGAAAAGATCGGCCAAGTTAGTACCGTACTGGAGATCCTAACGCCAAAGTACCTGCTAACCAATGAAGATTCCCATCATTTTTGTGGCGCACTCTATGGGTGGACTTGTGGTCAAGAAGGTACATAACCCTTCCCTTACATGTGGTGAATAACTCTTGTCGATGCCGCTCGAAACTCATCATCAATCTAGGCGTACATACTTGGAACTATGGACGACTCCTATTCGGATATGATTGCACGAGTCTTCGGTGTGATATTTCTATCCACTCCTCATAAAGGGTCCGAATTTGCTCATACCCTCAACAACATCTTGTCGGCTTCTCTAGTTCTCTCAACCAAAGTTTATCTCTCAGAGCTCGAGACGATGTCGCCCACTCTACAGGATATCAATGAACAGTTTCGACTGGTATGCAAACCGTTGCGCCTAGTGTCTTTTTATGAGACAGAAAAAACAAGTATAGGTGGTTCCAAGAAACTCGTAAGGTCTCCTACTTAAGGCACAGAACTCAGCTGAGCAACATCAACAGATCGTCGATAGAGATTCCGGCATACTCGGATACCCCTCCGAAATATCATCTTCCATGACTGCTGACCATCACAACGTTAGCAAGTTCAGCAGTCCGCATGATCCTAACTACATTGCATTGAAGAACACTATTCGTGACTGGACAACAAAATGCATTGGCGATACCCCAGCAGGACAGTCGAGCGAAGTTCACCATAACGACGAAGAAGAAATCCTTTCTAAGCTGATAACGACTCTTGGAGTACAGGAGGTAATTGAACTGGACAAGTTTCAGCAGCTTGACGGCACCTGCGAATGGATCCAGAAACGGGATGATTATCAGGCTTGGATAAGCCCATCGAAGGACGCATTTCGAATGCTGTGGCTTACAGGCCTGCCTGGGACAGGGAAGTCCACACTCGCTCAATCCATTGTCAATCGCTTCAGAATTCAGGAAGACAGTCCTCTCCCTGACTGCCAGTATCACTTTTTCAGCTTTGCAGACGCAACGAAAAGGAAAGTTGCATATGCCCTGCGATGCATCGCTTTCCAAGTAGCTCTTGCGAACAAGTCTTTTTGCGAGCAGCTAATTCAGCTTCACGAGAAGACTGGATTGAAGCTTGAGCAACAAGATACACAAGTCATATGGTCACGCATATTCGAAGGCATCCTCTTCAAAATGGAGTTCAACACGCCTTTGCATTGGATCCTGGATGGTCTAGATGAGGCCGACAGTCCAGTAGCATTGGCCAATCTTCTTCTTGGGGCAAAGCCTAGATCTCCCATAAGGATACTGTTGACAAGCCGACCAGCGCCTGCTCTACTGAATCTGGCTGCCTCGAATAGGCCCTTCCTCACCCATTCTGGCCTGACAGAAAGAGACACCAACGACGACATCAAGTTATTCATTCGGACTAGGGTCCAGGACACATTACCTATAGCGTACGATATGAAGGAGAGAGTGACCCAGCAGATGTTTAAAAGGGCATCGGGTTCGTTTTTGTGGGCGAAGCTCGCATTGAAGACACTGGAACAGGCCTGGCACACCGAGGAAGATATTCAAAGAGCATTGAACGATATACCTGAGGGTATGCAGGCTTTGTTCGAGCGTATGCTCCGTACCATCCAGTCAACCAAGGAAGATAATCCAAGACACTACTTACTGGCTTATCGAATTCTAGCATGGGCTGCCTGCTCTGCGGAACCTCTGACTACAGCTGAGCTTGCAGTCGCACTTGAGCCTGAATTCACAAAACTACAGAACCTTGAAGTTACCATCCTTCATCTCTGTGGACTCTTCCTTACAACTAGTGGCTCTAAGATTATGCCTATACACGAGACTGCGAAGTCCTTTCTCCTCGGTAGCCACAGAGGCCCTACAGCTTTTCTTGATGGTAAAGCTTGTCATGAACATATGGCCAAGGTCTGCATCAATTATCTTAGCGGAGAAACATGGAAGATTGTCCTTTTCAAAATCCAAGATAGAGATTCTGGGACGAAGATAGTATCGCAAAACCGCCTGAAGCTGTTGCTTTCTGAGCACCCTTTCTTGCGATATGCAGTCTCTAACTGGGCCTACCATGTCAGCCATGCAGACCCTAGCTCTGATGAACTTTTTTCCATCCTTCAGGACTTCTTCGATCGTCATGTTCTGTCGTGGATACACGCGTGTGTTCTTTTGGTTGGCCTACGAGTCATCACGCGGTCAGCTCAGCACATTAAAGCCTATGGTCGAAAAAGGAAATCGAAGGTATTTCTCGGTTCAAACCTCAGCCTAAGCCAAGACAACATACAGTTCTTTCAGCTTTGGGCTATAGACCTCATCCGAATGATTGGGCGGTTTGGACGGAATCTTGCAGAAAAACCATCTTCCATTTACAAGATTATTCCGCCACTTTGCCCGCGGGGTTCGATGCTATTCAAGACCTATTCTCCGCTTTCGCCTCTTTCTCTTCATGGAATCTCGTCTCAGACCTGGGACGATTGTCTTGCACGCCTCCCAATAGGTGAAGAGCGCACCATCTCTAAAGTCATAAGCACCTTGACCTACTTCATCTGCCTCATCGCCGTAAGTGGAGAGATCGTCGTCTGCTACTCGGAGACATGTGAAGAGGCAAGACGCATGCATCACGGTGAATACGTGACATACATGGCAGTTAACAAATCAGGGTCACTGTTGGCAACAGCCGGCATCGAGACTTTTCGGGTCTGGGATCTCTCGACCGGGGAGGAGCTCTACCGCCTTAATAAAACAGGAGGGGCTTTAGTAATGACGATTTCTTTCGGATCCGTCGATACACAACTAGTTGTCGGGTTTGACGACTGTATGGTCGTTTGCTTCGATATGCAGAATGGTACACGGCTATGGGATTTTCTTGCTGATGAAGAAGACGACCAAGACTACCACCCGTGCCCTCGGGCGATGGTGCTGAGCCCCGATGTGACCAAATTGGCCATTGTGTTCCGAGGACGTCCAGTCCTTGTGTGGGATTTCACCTCACTCGAAAAACAAGCCACTAAGTGCGTTCGAGAAAGTGATCTCCTGAAGCAAACGGACGATGCCTGGGATCAATTGGACTCTATTATTTGGGCTCCTGATGGTCTATCTATATTCGTCCTGTTCCAAGACACCACAATAGTGCGATTCTTTCTTACCGACGACCCGGCTATTGAAAATGGCGAGACCCTTGCAAGAGAGATGGTCATCAGCCATGACGGCAACCTATTGCTCACAAGTGATAACGCGGGGACACTGAGTCTTTGGAGTCTCCCAGAGACTCGACTCGTCTACCGACTACCCCACGAAGAATTCGTTCGAGATCTCGCATTTAGTCCGGACTCACAACGCTTTTATGACGTCCGTGGGTCTATATGCAACGTCTGGGAACCTGACGTTCTTTTGCGGCCTGATGAGGAAGACCCGGAGGATATTTCAACAAGTGACAATAGCGATACAGTGTTCTCAGATCCAGTAGTGTCAACAGACGCGAGCTTGAGAACTCAAATGACCTCCATCACGTACGGTCCATATCCTCAATACTTTGCGTGCGGTCAGGATGACGGTAGTGTGACGATCTACGACATCGCCAACGGCAAAAAGGTCCGAAAGGTGTATAACCACGCTAATATTGCTGCTGTCATCACCCTCAACTGGTCACCTACGGGGAAATATATGGCTTCATCTGACGATAACGGTCGCGTTATCGTTAAGCGACTAGAGCAAAAGGGTGAAGACGGGAAGTGGGCCGTGTTCCCTTGCCTAGATTTCCGAGATCAGGAGCCTGCGAATGAGTTCTGCTTCAACTACAACGAAAAGCTGGTGCTCATCTCATTTCCCGCCTCGGACCGCGTGTGGAACTTGAAGACCAAGACACAAATCTGGCGGCGCGATCGAGAACCGGATCTGGGTTTGCGGTGGATGAACCATCCTTCGAACAAAAATCTTATTCTGTGTTTCCGATACGACAAGACAACAGTTCATGACTGGTTGCCTCAGAAGAAGCAAGCACCCACTGTATACCCATCAGCTGGCGTCTCGCCAACATCAGTAACCTCTTCAGTGGTATCCTTCAGTACTAATCGGCAGCTGTCCGCGGCTCGTGTGAGGCGCGTTGCAATGAGCGAGGTCCGAAAGTGCATCGTGGCCGAAGTTCTTCCCAGCGCCGGGTCTCATACCAAGGCTGGCGGAAAAGAGCTGCGTCTGGAGCTGATTGCTCCAGAGAAGATGAATAAATATAAAGCGGGGCAAAGTATACCTCGGAAAGACCTCCTCGAAGGAATTACTCTTGATGTGCGGCGCTTCCTTGGCTTTCATAAAGACAAGGTTGTTTTCTTGAATCATGAGTATTGGATATGTACGTGGCCTTTAGGAGGTGTCTTTGAACCTCCAAAGCGGCATTTCTTTCTACCAAGGGACTGTATAGGACCTTCCTCACTTCCTCTAGTCACGCTTGCGGAAGAAGGGACCGTGCTTTTCCCAAAGAATGGAGAAATTGCGGTTGTCCAGAATGGACTCAAGCTTTAAAGGAGTGTGAAGCCATGTAGAGGCGACAGTCCTGCGCAGAACTTTCGATTACAGCATCATTGTGTCTAACAATGAGACTAATCCCCTTCAGTCTGACAAGAAGACCACACATGATTATGGAAAAGTTCAAGAGCATCATTAAATAAGTAATTAAAATATCAAGAAGCTTCGAAAACGTTGAAGTAGTGTCTTCTTTGGACGAATTGAGACCGAACCGTGACCATGCATATTCAGGATTGGACTGGAGATCAGACTGCCAGCTGTCTAGCTCTGATCAAGTTGTGCTCCTGCTCCAGTCAGTTGTGCGACCCCTTTCTCCAGACACAGCTCGGGACTACTCACGTGATCCGCTGCATTAGGCAGAGGCACTGCCCGCTTTTCATCATATGCAAATTCGTTCTTTCATGAACTTTGCCAATCTTTGTTTCCCTTGTGCTACTCCGTCAGTATAACTGTTGGTATTTCCCTGTTTCACGCAACCTCTCTAGGTCATACCTCTGACGCGCTTAAACGATGAATCCCGTGGAATATTTCAAGCTGGGATCGGATGGGGCAAGGATTCCTTCGAGAGGACTCGGGACCTTCCAACCAGATCCGAAAGCGTGCCCCGTAGGAAGTGTGAAACAATCAGTCCTGACTGCCCTCAAAGCAGGCTACCGACACATCGATACATCACTTAGATATGACAACGGCCAGAATGAGGTGGAAGTGGGAGAGGCGGTGAGAGAAAGTGGCATCCCAAGAGAGGAAATATTCATTGTCACCAAGCTGTCAGTAAACACCGGTCCCGTGTCTATATTTGACTAAGCTGAGCATATAAAGGGAGAATGTCTTTCACTTGCCTGAAGATGTGGAAGTTTGTCTAGATATAGACCTAAAGAATCTTGGGTTTACCTATGGTATGGCCGAAAGCAACGTTGACATCGCAAGATTATGATCAAGATGACACTAAACTGTTGGCAGTTGACTTATTCCTGATGCACTGTATGATCTTCTCGCCCTTAACCAATTCAACGATCTCGAAAAGCTGATTAGTTCTAGTTCCCTATGCGTACAAAAAGACAGCGGAAAATTATGGAACCGAACGTGACGAGCGTGGACGAGTGAGATCCAATCCCAACCCAACTCACATGCTTTTAACTTGCTAAAGTAAATAGCCGATTATTGACATAGAGCTCTCTCGAGCTTTTGATAAGACGTGGGCAGCAATGGAAAAGCTTGTTGATAGCGGAAAGGTCAAACATATCGGTATAGGCAACTCCCACCAGCTCCATTCAATGCAGATGCCTAATGAGGGTATAGGAATATCAAACTTCTCATCACCGAAAGTGAAAAGACTATTGAAAACGGCGAGGATTAAGCCGGCCGTTCACCAAATTGAGTGCCATCCCCATTGGCCGCAAAAAGGTTTAGTAAGACTGTGTCAAGAGAATGGTATACATGTTACTGCCTTCGGACCCCTGGGCTGTGTACCAATTCCAGCTTTACAGGGTAGAAAAGGCTTAGGCCCCTTAGAGGACGAGACGGCAAGTTTGCTGGTCACCCCTGAGACTTTCGCTGAATTAGAACTTACTGACCACGAGAATTCAGATCAATGAAGTGGCAAAGAAGTACTCCAAAACTCCAGCACAGGTTATACTATGCCATCTTCTTCGTCGAGGGTTATCAGTCATTCCGAAAAGCAACAACCCCGAGCGAATCGTTCAGAATTTTGACTGCATCTTTGAGATGGAAGATGCTGACTTCTACCTCATTGACAAACTGGTAGGCGAGAATGGCGAGCGAGGAGTTCGTAATCTGGAGTCATTAGAATATCTGGGATTCGATAATTACAATGAGGAGTACGAGGAGCCGTAAAGTTGAAGAAATTATTGCAGATGCACTCATGGAGACGATCGATGTAGCTGGTGTGCCGCAATCGAGCACCTCACTCCTATCTCCTCGGTCAATTTGTAAATTAAAGTTACACTCCAAGATTGATCAAATCCATCGCGCTTCCCAACACTGAATTGAGCCAGCATACCTATCCAAATATTCTCAAGTGGAGTTAGGTAATAAAGGCTGAGTTCAGGGCTCAAGTTTCTGCTTCGTTGATGTATTGCGATAGCCAACAATATCGCCTGAACAACGGCAAAAATACCCGTATCGAGAGCCACAAAGCCAATGCTTGAGTACCAATTTATGATGAAGTTCAGTCCCTGTCCTTGCCGTGACCAGCGCTCCCAGTCAAAGCAGACCCGACGTGGCCATAAAACAGCATTCAAGGCGAAAATAGCTGCCTGAGTGACAAGTCCCAAGACGCTCAGGGCACCGGGATCCGATCGTGAGCGGAGAAGCTGTACTTCGGGTGCCAAAGATGCGATACTAAATATAGTGGCTAGTGGTCTGAGTATGAAATAGTGAAGAATTTCCCACATCATGAATCCCCACCGTTCCATGGAGGGGTTTCGACTACCGAGACAGTCCATTACCGGAAGGAAAGAAATTATCAGCCACGGGATGTATACCGCGAGAGCGGCTGGGGCGGATGTTCCATGGCTGCCAGGCCGGAGAACAATGCATGCAATGAACCTTCATCGACAAGACAAGTTATTAGTCAGCCTTGTTCAGTGTGTGACTGAGCTCGGCACCTCTGAGCGATTTCCATCATCCTGGAGGTTTCAATAGGCATATTCACTTACAGTATAGCGAAACACACGCAAACAAGTCCAAGTTGAATCAAATTGAGCAAGTCCCCGGTTGTGCGGTGGCTGTGGACGAAATCGCAGCCCTCATAAACGTGCTGTACATAAAGAAGGAGTATACAAGCAAAATTCTCCGTGGCAGACATCAAATTGAGGCTGATATAGCCAATGGAGAGACCTGCACAGTTCCTCTGAGATGCGATGCGGTAAATTTGGGGTATAAACGACAGGACGGTGACAGCAAGGAGGACCCTATAATGACAAGTTAGGGGGCTCAGTGAACGGAGATCTACACTACGCAGCAACTTACGAAATGAGGACAACATTGCTATTCAGGTCCTTGTCGACAAGATCGGAGGGGGTGCTGGATATTGGTCGGTGATGCCATATCGCTTCGGGCTGCTCCATCATTCTAGATTTGTTATGACGGAATGGCGCGGCAGATAGCAACCTCCGTCTGAATGACGATGAGAAAATTGTGAAGTAAATTTGTGTTGGGATATAAACTGATACGATGCTTCAGAGCAAGTAGTTGACTTTGAGACTTTGAGCTTTTAGCTACGGGACCTGTCGAAGTTGAAGAAGGTGGCCGTTTCAATGCGTTGTGCTAGTCACTGTAATCAAGGATCTCGCCTGACTTGTCATTGGACATTTAATTGTAGCCTGATTGCATCCTTCACTACAGACGCTCACAATCTGAAGAAGCTGCCTTAGTGTAAGCTAAAGATGTGCACAGCCATTGTCATTTGAGGCTATGTCAGGTGCCTAGTAAGGAATTGCTCCTGCACCTCCTTAATGCAGCAGAAACGTAGATTGCACCCGCACCTTTCCCGACAATATGTATTTTCTATATCCAATTGTCACAAGAAAGTCTTCACTGAGTTGATATTGTACGCCCATGCTGGCGATCTCCTAGTAAAGTCATGCTCCGGGGATTTCGTTGCCAATTTATTTCTCCTGGCTCAACACTTATGCCTATCAATGGCTACACACATTCGGTCCTGCCCGTAGCCCTTTTGCCAGCTGTTGTGCCACAACGTCATGCATTGGGTACGTCGGATGCAGACTGTTCAGCCAAAAGTACTCATTCACGGGGATGCCACATGTCTCGTTAAACGTCGTCCACTCCGGAGTTCCACTGCATTCTTGATTAGCCAGCCGCCCAATTGCCACATGAAAAAGGGGCAGAACAGCAACAACTCACTTCTGGTAAGCATCGCAGTATGCAGTGACGTTCTTGTAGCCGCTCGTCTGCGGATACGTCGTCGGATCATCCAGCACGGCCGTGAACACCGCACTCGAGTCAAAAGTCCAAACATTCGCGTCCCCCTCGTGGCTCGTCTTCAGCCCGTCCGCCAGCTTCTCAATCCGGCCATTGAAGTCCGCAAGCGCCGCCTTCTCTAATGCCTGCGCGTCCGCGCCCTGGCCCAGGATCAGAGGACTCCTGTCGACGGGCGGCACGTTGACAAACACAAAGTTGCGCCCGCCCGCCTCGTACAGCGTGTCGACGGCGGCCTTGTACACGGCGAAGATCTGGTCGTACAGCGCGGCCAGCTCGTCGGCGCCCTTCCAGTAGCTGTTGCCGACGTCGTTGATGCCGATCCACACGGCGAACAGCGTGTCTGCGCTGCTCCAGTCCGGCGCGGAGGGCGCCGTCATGTTCACGTACCCGGGCACGAACTCATCGTAGACCTGCTGCTTGAGGGATAGCACGGTGGGCAGGTACGGCTGGACAAGGTCCGAGTCTACCGTGGCGCCGCCGTAGGCGAGGTTGTATGTCTGCAGGAGCGAGGCGTTGTACTTGGTGGTTAGGAAGCCGACCCAATTTGGTCCGTTGGAGGACGTCCAGCCTGGATAGGGAGGGTTGCCCAGGGGGTTTGACGGTGATGGTGCTGGGGTTAGGGTGTAGTTGAAGCTGGTGGAGGTGTAGCTATCGCCGCTGCATGTACATCAGTATATCTCTACGGCAACGACGGCTTGATGGAGGAACCGGACAAGATAAAGGCATAATTGATGTCATTCCAACCCGACCAAGCGGCGGTGACCTCACAGCCAGAGCAGCTAACTTTGCTAGGTAAGGCATACGCGCCGGTGGATAGCAGAGCTGTCAAAATAGATGCAGAGATCTTCATTGTTGGCATGTACACACACATGGACTCAAGCAGCATAACAGTCTCGACGAGATAACACTACACTACGGGAGAGAAGAGAGTAAACGGACGAGGAGCAGCCAGCTTGATCTTTGGCCAAGAACTAGGGAACCAGCCTCCAAGTGCGGAGGATGCAGGTCCACCAGATGCCAATATATCTCCAGGGACGGGGTGCATTCCGTAAATGAAGAGAGAATGGTTCATTGCCACATCATCTAGCTTATCCGGGGAGACGGGTGGGTAACCGCAGGTTGGTCCAAGGCGGCGCATCACGTTAAACAAGCCGAACAACCATTAGAGAATGTGGCAACGAGCTTAGTGTGTCTTTGCGAATTCGAGCTAGCCATATCTCTGTCATAGACAAAGGGTGCGGTCAGTAAAAAGCAGAGAGCTACGAGTGCGGACTTGCGTGAAAAGACCTCGTGGACGACAGAATGGAGAGAACGGTCACATGTGCGGAAGAAGCTCCTCCGTGCCCGTGGTTGCAGTACCCATGAGCCATCCGTGTCTGCGAAATCCACTAACAATTCTAGTTTCAAGGTTGCCGAAGTCCATTGTTGTTACCCGTATATCGTAAGGACAAGGGGGAATTATTTCATGTTGTAGCGATGGTGCCATCTACTAACACAAGTAAATGCCAAGTACTGACAAGGGAGCGAGAAGTCGTTGGTAATGGGTATTTATTGAGTTTTATTTCATAATGAATCCGTCCGTCATGATAAATACAGAACTGCCTTCATTGCACCACGACAAGGGAAGAAAATAGGTCATCAAGTCATGAATAGCTCTTGTAGGAATGGTATCATAGGATTCCGCATCTTTCCCGTCTGAGTTTTGACAAGGTAGATCCTGGCCAGAAGATCTGAAATCGTATAGACAACTCGACTGTCATTTGAAATTCGTCAGAATGTAAAGCGTGAGGTGTCCTCCCATGATATATATGTCGCATGGGACATCCCTGAAACCAATCTTTCCAATACGCCAAACGCCGTCAAGCTGCTCGATGATTCATGATAGAATCGGCTCGACATCTACGTCAATGTAGCCATCATGGCTCGAACGAGACCAGGCGGAGGACCTGCAGAAGCCGACAGTTAGCACGCTGGGGCTGGCTCAGGACGGCAGACGGGAAACAACGCGCACCGCACCTTTAGCGATACTTGGGTACGCTGATGGCCATCCTACCTTTCTTGTCCTTTTCAATGCGCACACCACGATGCGGCTCCTCGATCTTCTCGATCCTCTCCTCGTACAGCACGAGCTGCCCGTCGCTGAGTCGCTCTGCCCTGACGACGTCTCGGCCGGACATTTTTGAGCGTGCGAGTTGGCGTTCCAGGTCCTTAATCTCGGACCGGATCTCACTTCGAGATCTCGATCGGTGGTGATGAGAGTCGGTTACCAGCGCAAGCGGTCCAACTTGCATGGGCTCAGAAACCTCGACAGGTCGAGCGTCGACGATATAAGGCGTGGCAGATGTTGTCGTAGTGTACGAGCGGGCCGGGGAGACATCTCGAATGACGGTGGTCTGGTTGACAACCTCAACAGGAGGCGGAGGAGGCGGCATTTGCTGATACTGGTATGGCGCGGGTTGCTGGTATTGTGCAGCAGGCGTCATCATTGGCGGCGGCTGAGGTGGAGGAGGGCCGACATAGATGTCTTCCCGTCGTTCTTCGATAAAACCACCTGGTGGATTGCGTGCAGTAGCGATTTGCATTTCAGCTGCCAGATCATTAGTAAATTTGCAGCTATTATGACCAACGATGAGTTCCGTACCCTTCTTGTAGTCTTCGCTGAGTTTGAGCAAGTCGTCAATGTTATCTTGTCCGAGTGCCTTGAGTACAACGATGACGTTGCCCTAGAAAATGTCAGCAACTCCAGAGTTACCAAAACCTTAATGCTGGAGAATGTTACCTCTTCCACAAATGGGTATCCCAAGTCGATGAGAGCCCGCTCCGACACAAGTCTTCGCGGAATGCGAGTTTTACCCTTCTTGGGGTATTCACTCTTCACAGTTGTACCACCGCTGCTACTAGATGATCTACTGCTGGTGCTAGATGACCGCGAGCTGCCGCGGACACTGCTGCCGCGATGGCTCCGTCCACGGCTCGTTCGTGAAGCAGGGCTACGATCTCTTCTCCGGGTCTTGATGATCTCCTTCTCCCGAACACGCTCGGGATACGGTCTGTAGTCGTCATCGCCGTAGTAGTCAGGATCGGAGACCTTGATCTCATCATAGTACTCTCGCTCAGCGAACCGCCTAGGTGGAGGCAGCGCCTTGCTTCGTGGGAGTGGGATCGGGGTGTAAGTAGGCGGGCGGAAGTCTTCCCTGCGAGCGGGAGGTCCGTACTCTTCGCGCTCGTAGTAGCCTCTCGGTCTGCGGTCAAAGGTGTCGAGGCTGGACTGTCGGCGCAGCAGGGTGCCCGGTCGGCGGGGCGGGGAGGGGCTTCGCACACGCTCGCGCTCTCTCTCAATCACGACACGACGGTCAACCTCGGTATCGGGAGGAGAGCGTCGTCTCTGGAAGCGAGGCTCGTCGTCGTAGTAGACGCGGCGGTTCTCGCGGATGACGACGTCATCGTCGAACGCTCGGGGCCGTCGGTCGTGGTCGACGGACTCGCGGCGGCGGGGCGGGCCGCGATTATAGCGGTCGTCCTCTTCGAACCTAGAACGCTCGTCGCCGAATCGGTCACGGTCTCGCTCGAACATGAAGCGCTCGCGGTCCCATCGCTCTCCGCCGCCACGGCTAAGGTCGCCGGTGGAAGCTCTGTAGGGGTCGCGGGCCATGACTTGTGTGCAGGACGCTCGCAACGGTAGATAAGGTGAGGTTGTGTGGGGGAACTCGGAGGCTCAAACGTATAATGATAATGAAAAGGGTGGTGAACGGTAATGGATGCTGTGATGGAGTAGAACTCGACTTGTTCGCCGGATATTCGATTGATTTGTATCCCAGATAGACGATATTTCGTTGAGGTGAAGTCAGAGGAAGAAGAAGAAGAAGAGGAAGAGAAAACCCGACGATGGCCGATGACGACAATCAAACAAGTTGGCGAGTGAGAGGAGGGGAGGGGCGGATGGCGGGTTGGCAGCTAGTCTGGCTGGAATGTCGAATGTCGAATGATAGTAGCTGCAGGCGCAGGTGCAGTGGAGTGCAGTGCAGTGCAGGGTGCGCCGTGAAAAAAAGGCCCCGCTGCTGAGTGATGCAGGCAATTGGGAAGTGTCCTGCAGCGTGTGCGCTCGTAATGGAGAGACCGGCCGGCCTTACTGTGCAATGCTATGCTATGCAGTGCAGTGCAGCGCAGTGCAGTGATCACGGTCTGCGCGGCTTTTTTACTCTCCAGTCGAAGAAGGCTCAGAGAGACCAAGGCCCTCTCACCAATGTGAATGCCAGTCGCCGGTGCCCGTTTTGATGTGTGCTGCTGCTGTGTCGTCTGCGTGACTGACGTGAAGTGACGTTGTCGCAGGCTGTGGTCGGTGACGGTGACGCAGTGTATCACGAGCTAGGTATTTCGCCCTTTGGATCGATAGGTGCTGGACAGCACAGAGCAGTGCTGTATTTCCTCTATCCGGCTTCGTCTGTATCCTTGCCCGCTTCAAGCGGCTGCCCAAGTGGTGGCGGAGTGTTGCTGAAAGGGAGAGTGGTAATGCAGATAGATAGACTCTTCACTTTCTACTACAAACGGAATACACGACAAGCAATGGAAGGCGGAAGACCGGACTGGGCTGGATGGAGCTTTTGTAACTCCAGTTCCTGGTTACTGACAATCAATTCCAAAAGCCTGCTTTCCAAATGTCCAAGTACTACGCTGGATCTGCCCCACGCCTGCCAGGGTTCAAGAGTGACGACCGGTAGGGCGAATGGCGTCCCGATGTTAGCAGATGTTACGTGATACTACAGGTCTGCCCATTCGTGGTAACTGCTTTCATCACGTCCAGAATGGCAGTGGGGATCACAGGGTTCCGAGCAGGGCCGCCCCTGGTGCATCAGGCTCGCTCTCTGCACTACCAACCTCGTTGGGTGCTCGCCGGGCTTCTGGATGACAAGCTCGTGTCCTTTTTTGCCTCGTGCTGCCTCGTACGGGCAAGGCTAAGTCGGCCTTGCTGCCCTTCGCTTTGCAATTTGACCACTTTGGGCATCTATCGAGCCAGCTATCGTGAGCGATGAGTGGAAATTGCCTCTTTGCATTGCGAATCTCTTTCCAGACTCGGCCGATGGAGGGGCGGCAGATCACCCTCGTCAGATGGCTTGCTATGCCATTTCCCCCTACGAGGCGTCAACGTTCACTCCAACTTGACTGTTGGATGCGACGGCAAGGTTGGTCTTGATGCGAGCGCTGTGAAAGAATAGCGCCTCCTCCTGACTTTCGCATCGTCTTTTACACCCTTCCGGGAGCTCGTTTGGGTGGATTCGCTGGACCTGGCTTGTCTGACTGACCGCTCTCCATGTGCTATGACGTAGGGCTGCCTCAGTCTCAGGAATGGCTGTACACAAAAGTCAAACAAGATGGGTCCATTCAACAAAGTGCCGGATCTAACCTGCACTGGGATTCGCCCAAAATTCCGTCTCCGACTGCCCAACCAGGCCTGTGCATTCCTGCTGCTTGATGCCCGCTTTGCCTCTGGCCAATCGCGCTGTCGTCTGGAAGTTGGTGATTGCCATCGTGCGAGCAACTTGGTGTGGAATCTTCGTGCCCAAGTGGCCAGAAATGGACATCTACACAGAATAATGAATCCTACCTTGAGCGACGTCTAGTCCCTGACTCATTTCGGAAAGAACGTTCGCACGTGCGGCGACCCGGAGGCCCGAAAGGCTGGCTCCCGTTCGGCTGCTCCCGAGGTAAAGAGCGCCAATTCGTGCTGTACTGTACGTACCCGCCGCACGCTGCCGTTGCCACATCGGGCCTTTCATGGACGTCGCCAGGCTTACACAGCAAAATTGAGCAACCCACTCACGCGAGTAGCCAAGTATCGTTGCTTCTGTTGTCACCATAGAACACGGGGCTCTCATGAAGCTGAAGAATAGTATGATTGCATTGATCTGACTTGAGGGAAAGAAACGAGCATACACGCGTGAGATAACACTCTGACCTGACAGAGACCTATGATGTTGAAACGAAGCCGTTAGCCTTACCCCTTCTCCCCACGCTACATCAACTCCTTTTCCTCTTTCGAAAAGCTGTCCGAGGCAAGTTTTACTTTGTGCCGTTGTCGACTTTCGATCATCTAGGTAGAAGTTAATACATTACCGATGCCTTACACGTCGAGAGTGAAGCGCTCGTGGAATCAAATACCTGCTCAATCGTGTTGCACACTAGATAGCGGATCACAGTGACTTGTTTTTCTTGGCCTAGTCGGAGTACGCGACCAATAGCCTGCTTCTCGACAGAGGGGTTCCATTGAGGCTCGACCAGGTGGACTCGATTGGCAACAGATAGATTGTTCAGACTGGCTTTGTCAGCAAGCACTTGGACTTGTGATCTGGAATTATGTATCTCACCCCATGGCTCCAGTTCCAAGAGTCATCAGCAGAACCCTTGTGTCTGGCTGCTCCTGAAATTGCTTCAGGGCGGCCCTTCGTTTTGCGGCACTCAACGAGCCGTCAACCCGGCAAAAGCGAATATTGCGCTGCGTAAACATGTCTTCGATGATATCGAGCGTCTTGATCCAGGAGGAGAACACAATGCTACTCGTTATTAGTACTGACACATGCGTTCTCAAATCATGTATTGGGTTTGTACAACCTTTTCTCGGATGCTTGATACGCTTCGATATTCTCTCTTAGCAGCAGCAATTTCGACGGATACCGCTCGCGGTCTATCGAGGTTGAAGTGGAACACTTGGGCAGATTTTGTAACAGATTGTCTTCTTTGTGCTCTTCGCAACACAAAGGGCATTGCCGATTCCCTCGACGTCGAAATTCGCTCAATTTGTTGGTGTACAGTGCCACGCAATCAAGGCAAACGAGCTTTTTGCACCCGGTCAGCTGGATAGATAGACCAGAATCGTCTTGGTCAACAGCAGGGATATCCAAACAGCAATATGCACAATCTGCTTCGTTGTTCAGCTGCATTTGGCTCAATATCTCGTCCGGGGTTGTCGGTGTCGGGCGTGCAAAGACCAAGCCATGATTACAGAATAACCTGAGCTTCAGGAATATCTCCAGTGTCTTGCGAGCTTGTCTTTTACTTCGCTTACCGTTTGCCGCAATTACAAATATTTTCCCAAGCTCCTTCTGCTGTCTTTCGTATTCTTTGCGCTCGCCATCGTTGAACTTGACGGCACAAGGCTCGGTAGATAACTGATCCAGAGTGGTCTGAGGACGACGGAGACGCACAGCCCCAAGCAAGAGATACAGGTTTTCCTGATTATACTCGAGTATTTTCTTCGCAGGTTTCATTCTGCCGATTATGTGTTTTCGAAACATGAGCGAATTTTCAAGAATGGGGACCTTCAAGAATCGAATAAGAGACCCGATATCGTTGAGATTATTTTGAATCGGCGTGCCGGTTACACACCAACGAATATGGGCCGAAATTTGCTCCACTGCTTGAAATTGTTTCGTCGATGCATTCCGAATAACATGAGCTGCATCTGAAAGTCAATGAAAGCTTCCACGGCCCCGATTCCCCTGAGTTTTCACCTTCATCTAATATGACTCGATACCACTTGAATTTGTTCAGTACAGCGCGGCCACGATTCATGTCTGCTATTAAGGTACCGTATGTCGTAAATACAACATCATATTGATGCAGGATTGGTGCTACCGTGTGTCTTTCCTTCCCGTGATATTTATGGAGTCTTAAGCTTCCTCTAAGTATATGCCTATACATTATTAGTTCCCGCTAGGTGGGCCCGATATGCGGGACTGACTTATCAACCTCTTCTACCCAATTACCCATGAGCACTGAACCATTAGTTTTCTTCCATTTGTTATAAAAGTAAGTATTCACACGTACATTCTGAATGCACAACAACCAATGTTGTATGCAGAAAGGTCACTTTGGCTTCCCCTTGGAGAGGCATCGTCGAGGAGTTTATGATATCAGCATGGCCAGTGGCTTGAGCACTAGAGGCAATGATAGCGGATAACATTGTTAATGATTTACCCATACCCATGTCATCTGCCAGAATGCCACCTAAGAAGTCATCTTTTGTTCGACTCATAGCACCTGTTATTGCGTGCTCGTAACTGACAGCCATTAGTATTCCCAAATGTTCAACTCCTCAAATATAGATTCTCGAGCTTACGATATGATTCCATCTTCAGATACATGGGTTTTCCATAATGTGTGGTTCCCAGTGAGACCTCCTGTCTCTCTCCTTGAGATGAAGTCAAGAGCCGCTTTCTGATGACTTGGAAACGAGTTAGCACAAGTCATATGAATAGAATGATGGTCGCATACCTTAGCAATAGCGTTCGGACTCGGTAATCAGAGTCGATTTCATTCAGATAGTCATGTTGTGGAAGAGAAGCGAGCATCTGTTCCAATTCGGCGTGCATATTTTCGATTAAACACGACGACAAGCTGTTCGTAGTCGCTTTTTCGTCCCACATAGACGAAGGCGAGTTTTCGCAACACTCTTCAGAAAGTGGAAGATATTCTTTGAGATCCAGGAATTGTGGATTACTGTATTGTACGGATTGGTTAAACCATCGTGGGTGTTGGAGATAGAGCCCGTGCCGAGATAAATCTTTCGCCACATCATCACCATTGTGTTGCTGGCCATATATAATAATGTCCATTGTTAATTGGACTGGTGACTCGTCCACTCGAAGACAACGCGTC